TCATTTCCCAAGGACAAAAGATACATAAGTGGCCAAAATCCAGACTGTGAACTATGGGCCCTGGGTGATGGCTACAGAGTCAGCCCAGTTGATTGTAGAAAATGTGGAGACGGAGGTACGATCAATCAAATCTTCATTAATTCTAGCTGGTACCATTGACTCAGACCCAGTACAATCTCCTTGTAAACTGAAAGCATCTTGGGATATATTTAGAGGGGAAAGTTGTTCATCATTATCTCCATCCAGCCATACTATGGCTCCCACTTATCTTTCAGATATCATGGTCAGTTAGACCTCTCTTAGGGCCATGAAGCTTCAAGACAGATTTGTCACGATTTGACTTTGCTGCAGGAGACAACAAAGATGAGCCCAAAGAAAAACCTGTAGATTGCCAAAAGATCCTTGAAACTTCTGTTGTGTCTATGTATCTCCCCTGAATAGTGGAGCTTTTAGTAATTCTAGAAGCCCAAACTCTCAATCTGTCTAATGACTGATTTTATATAAAGTCCTTAAACTATATATAGATCTCTGAGAGAGATGCAAACCTGGACCAATGCTTGGGTATCATGACTTCAAGTCTTTTGAGCTACTGAGGTAAATTAGAGTACTCCAGATTGAGGAAGTATGGGTCCTCAAACTAGTAGTTTGAGGAACAATGGCTCATGCCTATAATCCTAGCTACTCAGGAAGATCTGAACACTACAGTTTGAAGCCAACCTGGAAAGGAAACTGGCAGGAAAGTCCCAGAGACTCTTATCTCCAATTAACCACCAAAAAGCTGGAAGTAGAACTGTGATTCAAGTGGTAGAGTACCAGCCTTGAGTGAAAAAGCTAAGGAACAGTACAGAGGATATATATATATATATATGGAAGTTTCAGTCAGTACTCTCAACTAGGGTGGCCTCAACCAGTGAAACTAAAACCATAATAAAAAAATAACAATGGAAGCTGATAAAATGACCATTCTAGCTAATGACTTCATGTTTGCCTTAAGTTGCATGGTTAATCAGATGAGCTAGGAAGCAAGGCAGGAAACAAAGGAAAAGATCTTTTCTTTTCCTTTCTTTTCTTTTCTTTTTCAGCTCTCTGAAGGACAGGCAAGCTAGATGAGGCTGGCACAAGCATTCCCAGCCTGAAAACGATGTTCTTCACAATGAACTAAGGAAACTTCTCTAGACTATCCTACATAAGAAACGTTTTCACAAAATAACCTAGGCCTCTTTGTTCTAATTCTTTATCTGGCAGTTATCCGGCTGTTAATTAATTTGGTATTATGGATTTAAAATGAGCATTATTTTTTTTTTTGCTTACCATTAGTCAACCCTGCACCCACCTCCCCTAGGATTTATTCACCTCAAGGTAGCTGACAAAATTGAATTCTTTAATCTGCAAAGAGCCAGAATCCCAAACAGTGACGTTTTCCTCTCCCACATTCCCCACCATGAGGTCTAATGCCAGCACGTGACCATCCATTTCACTCTCCTGACTAATCAGCTTATTCATAACATTATTAGTGAGAATTCCAGGCTTGCTAGTTGTTTGACATGTACATAGTACTCAGGACAATTTTTTTTAAAAAAACTAGTTTCTCTCACATATGAAAATTACAATAAAGCCCATGCATTTTCTAATAGAATCCAATTTCTAATCAATTTTCTAACTGATTTGGGATTGTCCCCGCCCCACACTCCCTCTCTGATATTCGGGATTGCATCATTTTCTTTCCACCGCTTCATCTGGTTCCAATTCAAATTTTATTAATGATTTCCAGATCGAGACATGGTTCAGAAGGCAAGCAAATCAAAGTGTCCTGGAGCATGTGGCAAAGGAGAATGCCATAACACACTGACTTATGGAAGCAACTAGCAAAAGATGCCAACAGAATGGGCTTGGAACTAATAGGATGAGATGGGTCTGTGATAATCCTGGTTCCTACTTTTAGGTAAAAATTGATAAGCGAGCAAAGTACAGCATGAAAGGTACTGTTTGCTTATTTTAGATTACTGAGACCCAAAGGTCACAAAGGTAGTGTTGTGGTTAAGAGAGAGAGAGGTCCATAGAGATTAGAGTTGTAAATGCACTGAGGGTGCAACATTGAGGACAGAGTAGCTGGAAGGTAACTGTCTCATCTCCGTGTCCCGTGGGTTGATCTGCTCTTATTTAACACATATGTCCAGTTCAGTGCATCACAACTGAAGAGAGATATTGACCAATGGGAAGATGACAGTGGACAACGTCCTAGGTGGTAAGGATTCCAAGAACAATGGAACAATGTCTAAAGAGGAATCATTCAGAGTGCTGATGTCTATCTGGTAGAAGAAAATAAGTTGTCAATCACTGCTTAAATGACTGTTAGAAGATCAACCATCACAAACTGGTTTTCTAGAAGCTTGCTAGGAGTGTACAGGAGGAAAATAAGACATTCGTGATTTTTTTTAATGCTCAAGTGTGATAGTGCTGCTAGCTAGCTTTTCCTGGCCTCAGAGGGTGTGTGTGGGATGTGGGTGTGGGTGTGGGTGTAGTGTGAGAGAGAGAGAAGGAGGTCTAGGAAACTGATATCTGAGACCATCCCACTGATTGTGGTCATGCAGATGAAGCCAACAGCTGCCTTTTTTTGCTGTTGTTCTGATACTGGTGCTTGAACTCATTAACTGGGCACTGTCCTTGAGTTTATTTTGTGCTCAAGGTCACTTGAGCCACAGTTCCGCTGCTGCTGTCATCTTTTCTGATTTCTCAAGACAAGCCTATTATGTCAAGACAAGACCATTATGTCACATATCTCGATTTTGATTTTAGCAACTATTTCAAGTCAAAATATTAAAACACATATTGGAGATTATGGTCAGGTGTTTTCCCAGGGCTGCTAGTTCACAAAATCTAGAGGAAACCATTCTTGGTTTTAACAAGAGTGTAGGTTCAAAACACATAGGATGAAGGTTTTGCTGGATTAGGAGAGAACTTTCGAATGTTATTAGGATTCATGGACAGAGAGCAGGCTTTCTATATGGGGGTCTGAGAAGGAGGAAGTAACCAAAAGAATATTGGATGGTAGTATGTAATAAATATTAGAGAAAGATTTATTTCCTTGGGCATAGATTGACTCAAATCATATTACAGTTGTGCATCTGCAAAGCACAAAACATTTTTTACATAGTCTCTCATTAAAAGTCATTAGAAGAGCTAGGCATTGATAGCTCTCGCCTGTAAGGCAAGTTACTCAGGAAGTTAAGACCCAGATGATTGTGGTTCAAAGTCAGCCCAAGCAAAAAAAGCTGAGAGACATGATCTCCAATTAGCCAGCAAAATATCTGGCTAGAAGTATAGCTCCAAGGGTAGAGAGCAAGAGCTAAGCAAGCAACCTGAGTTCAAACTTCTGTACCAGCCCACAAAAATAATATTAGAAATATTCTTTGAATAACAAAGTAAGTGTTTCTATTTTTCAAATGAGTCAGAGGAGTGAGTATCTGAGATATTAAATAACTCACAGAGTCATCCAGGAAATTGAACCTCTGGATAAGATTGGATGGTTCAGGACTGCTATCTCCATCCCTGGTTATACTCTCACTGAGCCTGACCATTATTGCTTTCCTATAGTCAACCTGCTCTCTCCACACTTTTCCATATTCCCAGGATGCCTTGGTCTTCATTCCCATCTCCCTAGTAGCTCCCATACGTCATTATTTCTTGTGGAATTTATTCCAGGTTGTGTCTGTCGACTACAGGAATGTTCCTTTGAACTCTTAGGCCTCCAAAATGGACATCCCTGCGACATATATCTGTCTACAACATTTGTCTTCTCTATATATCATACATGTTTGTCTCCATAAAGTTAAAAAAAACTGTCTTGCCGGGCACCAGTGACTCACACCTGTAATCCTAGCTACTCAGGAGGCTGAGATCTGAGGATCCTGGTTCAAAGCCAACCGGGGCAAGAAAGTCTGTGAACTCCAATGAACCACCAGGAAACCGGAAGTGGTGCTGTGGCTCAAGCATTAGAGCACTTGCCTTGAGCTGAAGAGCGCAGGGACAGTGCCCAAGCCCAGAGTTCAAACCCCACGACTGACAAAAAAAAAACAAAAACAACTGTCTCAATTTATCTGTGAGCAAGGCTATACATACACACATACATTAATGCTTAATGAATTAATCATTGAGTGATAATTATTTCTGGACTTACAGGTAAGCTGAAAGGAAGAGATGTTGTTAACCATGCCTTCTAGTTTTGTCAATCCTCCTTATTTCCTTCCAGAATTTGTCAGTCTTACAAAAATTCAGCTTGGCAGCCTTGGTTCTGTTTGCCCCATAAGGAGATACAATAATGATTTGGTTCTGTGTTCGGGCCTAGCAATGAACATTTGAAATATACCATTATTCCTCAGGTCAAGATAAACCTTATATATGAAAGATGCACACACACAACCACACACACACATATGCACACACAATGCAGAGCAATTACAGACTAAGCAAAACTTCCAAATGACATGGTTTGGCTAAAATAAACTTCTTTAAGATGATGCACTGCCGGTGGCTTCTTGTTGGCTCGTGGACATGTGTCAGTTCAATGACATTGTTAATACATTTCATCTACGCCTGTGCAGCAGCTGTCACTCAGCATGAAACCAATGATCACAACTTGCATCTCTCAGCTAAAATGAAAGACAAAAATGTGTAGAAAAGTATTTTTTAATTGAGTAGAAAGAAGTAAAGAATCTTGAGAATGCTAGCATATTTAGCTAAGCAGAGAGAAGCCTATTTCTGTTTAGTTTGCATTGTTTTGTTTTGGTGATTGAGCAGATCAAGTGACCTGTTAAGAATATTCCATAGAGCTCATGTTCCAGTGGTCTAATCTCTCTAGACAAGGTTCATATTTGTGTGGGTTACTTATTCTCCCTTTGTTGACTAAGTCAATAATCAGGATCAGCAGGTTTGGAGTCAGATTGACAGGGATCAGCAGCCTGGTTTGGTAGAAGGGAGTATAAAAGCCCTCAGCCCAGGATCGGCCATCACAGAAATCCACTAACTCTTGACAAGATGGCCTCCCATCATTTGCTCCTTCTTTGCCTCGCTGGGCTGGTATTTGTGTCTGAAGCTGGCCCTGCGGTAAGTGTTTGATTCTGTGAAGTCCATGTGCATTAGATGAAGTATAATTGTCTTCTTTTGGCTTTGATAATCAGCTTGTTTGTAGGGTAAGGGTACCCAGAATTTAGATTTAATAGCATTTGATTGAAAAGAAATGCAATTGCTCAGAGCTTACTGAACTGGGGCTTACACCTTGGACACTTTCTTCTCATGCTTTGATGCATTGAGTTTGCAATGTTTTAGCACCTTTGTGTCCTCAGATAGGTGAAAGACTTAAAGAAAAGACCACTAACATCAAATTTTCATAAAAGCATCTTTTAATAAAATATATTGAAGAAAACTGCATGTTGTTATATTCTAGACCTTTTGCTAATCGAAATATTATTGCTATTCTAGACTAATATTTGTTTTGTAAGCCCTGAATATGACTATAAAATTGTACAGTGACATTATTTTATAACAGGAAATTACTAAAGTTACAACTGATAGAATGATCTCAAGAAAAACGATTCTGTTCCCTGGCACATTGCATCTTTTTAGTAATTTCACTCAGAGAGGCTGAGCAAAGCAACTGTTCTCAGAGGGCCTATTTTCTCTTTTAAAATTCATTATACAAGTCCCTGGTCGATAGCAGCATGTCTCGAGGCAGAAACCATTCTTGCTTTGGAAACAATTAGGTCTGTGTTCTACTGACTAGGGAAGCTCATGAATTGTCAACACATACATTACTGGTAATGGAATCAGCATGTACTTCTGGCTTTGTTCCAGATTTCTTGCCCCTACTCTGAATAATTCTGTGGACTTCTCGCTTGCCTTCTCTGTGCCCAGGGGTGTCCTCTGATGGTCAAAGTCCTAGACGCTGTCCGAGGCAGTCCAGCCGTCAATGTGGCTGTGCAAGTGTTCAAAAAGGCTGCTGATGGGACCTGGGAGCCATTTGCTGCTGGGTAAGCTCCCAAAGGCTTGCGGTGAGACTGGTTAAGCCTTTCCACTTCCAGAGCACTTTTTAGGAAAGCTCACATCATTCCCTAAAGAATCTAGGAGTAAGTTTGGCACTCTTGGCTTATATCTGTAATGCTAGCTATTCAGGAAGCTGAGATTCAGAGCCAACCAGTGCAGGAAAATCCATGAAACTCATATCTCTAAAACCAGCAAAAAGCTAGTAGTGGAGATGTGGCTCAAAGGGTAGAGTGACCACCTTGAATAAAAAAGCTCAGAGACAGTGCCCAGGTCCTGAACTCAAGTCCTAGTATCAGCACCAAAGAAAGGGAAGAGAGAGAAAGAGAGGGAAGGGAAGGGGATATGAGGGAGGAAGGGAAGTTGAAAGGGGAAGGAAGGAAGGAAGGAAGGAAGGAAGGAAGGAAGAAAGGAAGAAAGGAAGGAAGGAAGGAAGGAAGGAAAAAGGAAGGAAGGAAGAGAGAGAAAGAAAGAGAGAGAGAGAAAAAGAAAGATTGATTGATTTAAAATGTGGGCAAAGGCCAAGTGATGGAAAAGGAGGATACTCTCTTCTTTCATTACTTAGCTGCAAGTGACCAGGAACTAGATAATCACTTAGAGCACATGGAGTTTGCAACCCTTACAAATCACAGATCATTTGAAGAAGGTACTGAAAACTATACTCCATGCCCAGATAAATACTCATCAACATACACACACACACACACACACACACACACTAATATGTATATGTATGTATATGTATATATATATATGTGTGTGTGTGATTTCAGGAGTTTCACAGATTTCCCGCCTGGATCATCAAGAACCCAGGGTTTTTGCCAAGCTTAATTTTTTTTAAAAAAGCTAAAGGAAGGACATGTCAGACAAACTACAGCCACAGACTTATCTGACAATCACCCATTATTGGTGCAAAATGACTTCTCACCTACATTAGACACTTTGAAGTATTCACGATGGTTTTGCAAATTCTATTAGCAAGAATTCCAAAGAAAACAAATATTAGAAAACCTAAGCAAACTAACCAAAAGGAAGAACAACTAAGAAAGCTTCAGCACTACGCATTTCTGTCTCCTGGGAAATGAGTTTCCATTGTGTTTTAATTGAATCCCAAGAAACACAGTATAGGTCTTTACCCTTCCTTGGGAAGATCATTTTCTTGGGGTGGTTTTAATCAAGTTTTTACTTGTTAGTTTCTTCATGTTTATATAAAATGCTAAACACCATATGGAAAGTGGTTAAGGGAATATTCTAAGTGGGAGATAGAATGGATACTGAAAATATTTAAATGCTTAGTGAATTTTTTGCACCAAGACTCTCTGTCTCTCTCTCTCTCTCACTCTCTTTCTCTCTCTCTCTCTCTCTCTCTCACACACACACACACACATACACACACACACACAACAAAAGGACGAAATGGGGGCAGAAACAGTTAAAGTAACTAAAAATAACTTTCATTTTATCTGACTTAGTTTTTGTAGTCTAATGGGGAGCAATTTCTAATATTTCAATTATTGAGTTGGTACCTATACAGAAATAGAAGTTTCCCAGGATTTGTTATTGGTAAAGAATTACCAACAGGATAAACACATAAAAAGGAAAAGAGTCAGACACAGGTTCTTTGTACATTGGGCTTTCCTTTCTGTATACAGATGCTATCGTCTTGGGGCTGGAAGTTGGCTCAGTGGTAGAGCACTTGCCTTGCATGCATGAGGCCCTGGGTTCAATTCCTCAGCACCACATAAGCAAAAAGCTGGAAGTGGCGCTGTGGCTCAAGTGGTAGAGTGCTAGCCTTGAGCTGAAGAGCTGAGGGATAGCGCCCAGGCCCGGAGTTCAGGCCCCACGACGGGGCCAAAAAAAAAAAAAAAACCCAAATGCTATCATCTTCTGGAAGATACTCTCATGCCAGGGGTACAAGAGTGAGACCCTGCTGTCATGGGTCAGAGCAGTTTCCAAGGACAGTCATGAACTTTCACCAACCTGAATCCTAAGTGTTGTCATTATCATTATTAATTTATTTTTATTATTTATTAATAATAATATTAGTGTCAGGGATTGAACCCAGAGACTCACACCGATACGCAAGAGCTTCCCGATTTTTACTTTGGCACTTTGGATATTTTATGTAATTGTTCTTGGGTCCTGGGGCTGGAACTTGGGGCTTGAGCGCTATGCCTGAGCTTTATTCCTCAAGGCTAGTGCTTTATCACTTGAGCCACAGTTCTACCTCTGGCTTTTTGCTGGCTAGTTGGACATAAGAGTCTCACAGATTTTTCTGGGTGAGTTGGCTTTGAACTGGGTAGCTAGGATTACAGACATGAGCCACCAGTGCCTGTACCTTGAGGATATTTTAAATAAAGATTATATCTAGATCTTTGTTCTCATATTAGCAAAACTCTACACAGAGCTTTTTGAAAATTTTCTAAAAGTTTCAAAGATCTGGTTGAAGGAAAACTAATTCTATACCTACACATACAATTTTAATATATTGTACACATTTGTGTATACATATTTTACATATAAATTTTCATATGCTCTTTGTATATCACACATATGAATATGTACATATGTATATATGTACATATAATATATATTATATATTTTTTATATATTATATAAATTTTTATATATTATATATTTTATATATTATATATTTTAAAATATACTCTATATCACACACACAGACAGACACGTATGCGAAGAGTCCCTCTGCCAAGCCATTTGTTCCCTTCATGCCTAACCTAACCTGGACTTTTGTGCCTTACAGGAAAACTGAAGACACTGGAGAGCTGCATGGGCTCACAACAAATGAGAAATTCGTGGAAGGTGTGTACAAAGTGGAATTAGACACCAAATCCTATTGGAAGGCCCTCGGCATTTCCCCGTTCCATGAATACGCAGAGGTAAGTGGGCAGAGCCTTGAGTTAGTTTGGGTTTTGTTTTCAGGCCCAGGAAATATGCAGGTGCACTCAGCACCCCATCAAAATAGCTCAGGGAAGCTGCTAGAGCACTTTCCAGAAGGCTAGTCCAAGTTCCTTTGACTTGCAACAACCAGAAATTTATAACACTATGAAGAACAAACCTTTTCCCTGAGTTTATCAAGAATATTTAGTAGCATGATATTCTGTTCAGCCCACTTCATGTGAATATTTGTTTCTTTGCTAAAGAAATATTCATATGTGGCTTAGTGGTAGAGTGCTTGCCTAGCATGCATGAAACCCCAGGTTTGATTCCTCAGTACCACATAAACAGAAATGACCAGGAGTGATGCTGTGGCTCAAGTGGTAGAGCAATAGCCTTGAGTGAAAGGGCCAGTGCCCAGGCCAAGTTCAAGCCCAGAACTGGCAAAAAAAAAAAAAAAGCAGAAGCAGAAGCAGAAGCAGAAGGAAAAGAGGAGGAGGAAGAGGAGGAGGAGGAGGAAGAGAAGAAGAAGAAAAAAAGAAAAAGAAGAAGAAGAAGACAACGCAATATTTATGTTTGATTATGAGCAGCACTTCAGATGTTATATAACAACATAGTGCTCCATTTTACTTTCAGGACAATAATGGCAACATAGCAGATAAATTTACCTTGTGTGCAGAGCAAATATTCCTTGCATTTAACCTGTTCTATCCTCATGACCAACCCATGATTGCCTCCATTTTACAGATGAAGGAAATGAGGCATGGGAAATGCAAATAGCTCATTACATGACTAGTAAGTGAGGGATCAAGGTGGTATGTCTCAGAGCGTCTCAGAAAGATTTTTTCCTGTGAAAAGCCAAACTGAAAAAAGAAACCTCTCAACCACTCAGAACCATATTGTACTTGTATCTTTCTCTTTCTCTCTGTCTCCCTTCCTTCTTTTTCTTTCTTCTTTCTTTTTTTCCTTATCTCTCTCCTCTCCCATCCTTCCTTCCTTTCTCTTTCACTCTCACTCTCTCTTTCTTTTTTTCTTTCTTTTGTGATGTATGGGACCCAATCCTGGTTCTTGTTCACTCTCTCTACCACTGAACTACCACCAGCTCCTAAAATGATTGTTGCTGCCTTTTCTCTTTTTTTCCATGCTCCAGAGACAGAGGGGGCAACCAGAGAACCGTGTGTGTGTGTGTGTGTGTGTGTGTGTGTGTGTGTGTCTGTGTTATGCATTGCACATATACACACACACACACATACACACACGCGCACTGCTACTGGGACTTGAACCCAGAACCACCACTGTCCCTGAGCATTTTTGCTCAAACCTAGATCTCTACCACCTGAGCCACAACTCCACTTCTTTTTGGTGGTGAATTGGAAATAAAAGTCTCACAGACTTGCCTTCCCCCGGGCTGGCTTTGAACCATGATCAGATCTCAGCTTCCTGAGTAGCTAGGATTACAAGGATGAGCCAGGCTTGTTTCAGGTTCAGGCTGGCTTCAAACCTACTATTCTCCTGCTTTGGCCTCCTGAGTGCTGACATTACAGTGTGTGCCACCACATCCAGCTTTATGTTTGTAGCCTCTGGTTCACATTGTTGAGCTACGAATGCTCATACAGTTAAATCCTTATACAGTGGAGCCCAATCTCCTGGCCTCTTCCTGCTCTTCACTTGGTAAGCCATTGAAAACACATGCTGTCATGGAAATAGAATCCAGACATGTTGGTCAGAGTTAAAGATCAACTAATTCCATCAAAAATAGCTCAGCGTGAAAGGCAGCTATTCTCTCTGGCTTAGTCATGGAAGAATTTTCAATGAACATAAGGCACCTCTTGTGTTGTCAGGGAAGTTATATGGACCTTTTGGACTTCCAGGATACACAAGTGGCCAAGGGACTACCACCCACCCCCACCAAGAACCATGTCACTGGCCATTCCTTAGCCACACCCCAGCTGAATGCAGAAAAAAATGAGCTGATCCTAGCAAAGAGATGGCAGCTCTTGTTTCGAGCCTTCCCTGTGACTCATGTATGCTCTAGATCTCAGCCCCATGAGGCCATCTGAAAAGGTTCTCTTCCCAAAGATCCATATAATTGTTCTATTGGGTCCTTTGTCTGTTCTTGACTCTTTTTAAATATTCAATCAGCAAACATTCTCAAAATAAAAACCTTTCATGTGCTGAGCGTCGTGCTAGAGGTTCAGAAGGGAACACACACATCTGCCTGGGGAATGGAAAGAAAGGTAGGATGTAAGACATCTGCGGTGGAATCAGGAGCCTGGCTTGGAGTCTGAGGGGACCAGAGAGTGGGAGAGGCATGTGCCTCCTTGCTCCAGTGAGCAGGGCATGGTGGCTGCTGCACTAGGCTCCTCCCAGAGAGCTGCATTCCATCCGAGCTGGCCACCTCATCGGGGCCAGTGGCCCAGGTGGCTCCTATCAGATTTCCAAAGGAAAATTAGAAAACTTCCTCTGAACCATTAGGCCTCTTCCCTTCATGGGGTTTTGATCCCATATTGTGACTTTTTTCCAAGTTTTAAAGAAGCAAGGACAAGGACTCTTTCCTGGTTGCTCCCAGAGATTGGCCTTAAAGGGTTGCATTTGTTTTCGGTATGGTTTACATTCATCCAGGTATCCAGTGCCCTTTGGGAACAAAAAGGCTTTCTCCAGAGTGTATCCAATCCAAGGCCTGAATCCAACAAAAGTAATATTCCACACACCCTCACCACCCTCGGTTTATCCCAGCTCACCTCACTCCAGGCATCTGGGTGTGTCTCAGACACTCCACTGAATTTGAGAAGCGCATGACTAATTAAATGCAATGACATTTGAATCCACAATTTGCCCAATCACAAAGCTTAAATGAGCTCCAAAGCCTGCATGTACATTTCACGATTCCAACAAGATGTTCCACAGTTTGTGTTTTAAATGGAATCCTATAAAGCTTTTATCTAGAATTTCACTGTTCCATAACCAAAGATGTATGTTTTTTATGCTTAAAAAAAAAAGTCAAAAGAAACCTCTGGGGACAGGGGACTCTTTCCCAGTGTGGTTCTGTTCATTGTATCCACTTGGCAGTCACTAATACAGAAGTCTGGTTTGGTTATCTGTAACATAGAAGGATCCTTTTCAGCTCTAAAATTCTAGGTCTCAAAAGCTGTGGGTGGAGGCTTGGCTCTGGTGGCTCATGCCTGCAATCCTAGCCACTCAGGAGACTGAGACCTGAGGACTGAGGTTTAAAACCAGCTTGGCAATAAAGTCCAGCTAAGTGCCAGCAATTAGCCAGCAAAAAGCCAGAGGTGGAGGTATGGCTCAAGTGGTAGAGGGCCAGCCTTGAGTTAAAAAAAAAAAAGCTAAGCAAAATTACAAGGCATTGAGTTCAAGCCCCAGTTCTGACAACATTAAAAAATTTTTTAAAAAAACATAAAAAGCTATAGTGGGGTTGGTAGTCCCCATTCCTACCTCAGATACCACTGTTTCCATTCTCCCCATCTCTTCCTGAAGCTAAGACAATAGACAAGAGCCTTAAGGTTCTCTGTGACTCCTCACAGTCAGGCAAGGGCCACCCAGACTATGGGTGTGAAGTTCAAAGCAAAAGGCCTAGTTGTACAGGTATCCTTGGGGCTCTCTCCTAAGAAATGCATGGGGCTCCACAGGCTTAGCCTGCCAATGTATCTGGATTTTTGCTATTGGGTCTAATCATTCCACCCCGCAACCCCCAAAAAACACCCTAAAAATCATAAATATGGCACTGGACTTCCAGCAAAACCTCTAAGTGTGGCTCCCACTCTTGAGCTCTGTCTCGTTCTCTCTCCTAGGTGGTGTTCGTCGCCAATGACTCTGGCCATCGCTCCTACACCATCGCAGCTCTGCTCAGCCCCTTCTCCTATTCAACCACTGCTGTGGTCAGCGACCCCCAGCAGTGAGGGACCCGAGGGAGCAGGGATAGCATCTTCTATAACCAGCAGTATTCCATTTTTCTAAAGCAGTGTTTTCACTCTGTAAACTACATTAGAAACTCAGGAAGAGACCATTAAATGTTACTGTTAAAAGAACTTCTTGTTTCATTTGACCTTCATTTTGTATCCCTCATGGTTCCATTCCTCCATGCCCACACCCAAATTTTACAGAGAAGCAAAAGAATTTTAGAAAGTCTCTCACCAGAGAATTTGGGGTCCTGGAGAACCCAAAGGTATGTATTAAGCAAGATCTTCAGCCATTAAAACTATAACATTGTGAAGCCATTCAAGAAAGCTTTATTTTCCTACAATATTTGGTTGGGGAGAGGGAGGGGGAGAAGAAAAATTGAAAGGGCCCACTTTACCCTAGGCATTTAAGTCCTTCACTGATTTCAATAGTAGTGTATAGGCATGGCTTAAGTACCCTAAGTTTAAACTCTAGTACTTCCCAAAATCATTCATAAATGAAAATGAGTAGTGAAGTACCAGTGAGGTCTATCTACAGCTCCTAAGTCCCTCTGAACCAGCATAGATCAGCTTATCTGGCAACCAGCTCAAGAAGAGACATAACCAAAGAGTCTTCATACATTGAATTTATTCCCACCAATCCAAAGTTTATAAGAACACACACATTCTAGGCACTACAGTAAGTGGTCCAACTGTGAAGAATAGGACCTGCAACTATTTAACAAGCTCATGAGCTTTTGGGAAGTATGACATTCATCGTGGACTGACAGGGACTGTGGTCAACACACCACACCAAGGGTATGAAGCGGGGAAAAGCCCACAGCCTAGAGAAGTCAGAGAGAGAGAGACCCAGAATAGTTGCCGGACTCAGAATAGTTGTCCCTCCATTGAGCATGGTAGTATGCACCTGTAATCCCAACAGTCAGATGGCTGAGGCATGGTGAGTTTCAGCACAACCTGAGTAACATATAAACAAAAAATAAATAATTTTTTAAAAAAGCATTGCTCAATCTGAGTTGTTAGGTAAAATTAAAAAAAGGAAATAAAAGAACAGAGTTCTAGGTAGAGACTAGGGATTACAAGGCCAGACTGAGAGAAATAATTTGGTAAACTGAAGGAATTGCTGGTGTTTTTGAATGTCTACACGAAAGCCTATTAAGGTAGGTGAGATTGTATTGCTATATTAAACCCCTGAGATCTCAACTGTTTATTCCATGCTCACACCAGGTCCAATGCAGTCCTTGCTCTGGTGATTCTACACGTGACTTTCTTCCAAAAGATGCTTTTGAGATCCAATTTAATTTAGTCTAATGGCTTCAAGGTCACCCTGGTGACATCTAGCCAGCAGAGGGCTCTCAGAGATGACATGTCACACATGAATCTCATTGGCCCTTTACTGACCAGAGCTAGTGACCTGGTGTCACCATCACAGAGTACCTGACACTGAATGTCTTAGGAAGAACAGAGGCTGCTTTTGGGTCAGTGATCTGTATGCTAAGAAGTCCAAGAACATAGCACCAGAATCTGCTTGGCTTCTTGTTCAACTCATGACAGAAAGCAGAAAGGCAACTAGGCACACTTGACAGAGCCAAAAATATAACGGAAAGCCTTGCTCCATTATAATCTGCTCTGAGGAGCTAATCCAGTTTCTCCAAAGATACCTACTAATGCAAGAATTAACCCAGACCAGCAAGAAAAGAATTCATCCATTCATGAGACCTCTACCTGTATGACCTCAATATAAACATTTCCTCTCAACACTGCCTCTCTGAAGAATTACAGAGTTCCAACATGTGCACTTCTGTGGGATACATTCAAACAGAGCACATGGTTCCATCTAGATGAACAGATGTGCCTTTGGCACAGTCTTTTTACAGAAAACTTACCTTCTGGAAGAGGAGCAGTTATCTACATGATCAATAACCATTTCTGCCACAGTCAAGTTGGAGTGGTAGAAACAAAGAATCACGGATCCATTGCGCATAGCCTTGAAATCGATGACCTATGGCATTGGTGACCCCCTTGTGCCTGGGGAAAAGAGAGCTTCTGCATTGGCAGAATCTCCAAACAGGATGCCCCATAAACCTGCTTTAGACATTTGGCTTAGGCCTGAACATACCTCTATTTTCCTCCCAAGTCAAACCTGAAATCTTGATACCCTCTTGGTATATTGAGAAAGCAAGAGATTTGAAGAAAATGGAATGTAAGTTTGGGCTTCTGAACATATATTGAGTTTTCCCAAAATATGTGATGAATTGATATTTTCAGTATGTTCAATGCTGTTAGCAAGTCCTTGGTTCCCTATATGTTAGGTTAATCATGATCAAACCGCTTTGTAGATGAAATAGTCAAACACTGACAATTCCATAAGATTCAATCTGTTACCTTTATTGATTGCTTAGTCCCTAACCTGCCTATTTATAGAATGCCACACTTCAATTTGGCTATTGTTAAATAGCTATGGATTTCTGTAATCAGTGATTGAAAATCTGAGCACAAAACAGTTTTGTTTTTTTTGGGGGGAGGGGTCTGGTCGTGGGGCCTGAACTCTGGGCCTGGGCACTGTCCCTCAGCTCTTCAGCTCAAGGCTAGCACTCTACCACTTGAGCCACAGCGCCACTTCCGGCTTTTTTTCTTTTTGCTTATGTGGTGCTGGGGAATCGAACCCAGGGCCTCATGCATGCAAGGCAAGCACTCTACCACTGAGCCACCTTCCCAGCCCTTGTGTGAACATCTTTACAAAGCATAAAGCTTTTGTTTCTGTTGAATTTGAACTAAGTGATGACCTAACATTTCTACTAGCAGAAAACTCCTGTACTAAGTGGAGTCTTGAGCAGTAAAGTACTTGGAGGGAATGTGGGGGTTGCCTTTTGCGTTTCTTTCCTCTTCCTCCTTCCTGTGGCCACAGGTTATTGTGAAGACCAGCCTTCACAATACACATAAAAGGGCTTAGGGGTTGGGGTACCATTCAGTGCTATTGGGGTTTGAACTCAGAACCTTGCAATTGGTAGGCAGACACTCTTACCACTTGAGCCATGCCCATTTTTTCTATGGAGTTCCCAAGTTCGTTTTAAACTAGTTCAAGGAAGAGGTGATTGGCTTCCCTTACTTGATTGTGGCTCTTTGGGAGAAAGAACTGCATCTGGCTCACACCCATTCACTAAGCACTCAACAGTGCCAGAGACACAACAGACACATGGCAAAAATGTAGAGATTATAACAGGTAGGAACTAGGCTGCTGTAAGATGCTAGACAAGCTAAGACTTCCTAAAATCTGACTATGAGAACAGACTAAGGGAAGGAGCAAATAAAGGAAATCTGCTTAACAAGGAGGCCCACGTCCGTGTGAACAGAAGCTCTCACTAGACTTCATGCCTATACCAGAACTCGCATAGCCACCAAGATCTTTGCTGATTCTGATGAAGACAGTGGTGGAAAGGAAGGCCAGATAAATGAGGTGTCAATTGGGAGGGAAAACTGGGTCATAGAAAGTCAATCAGCCCTGGAAATTGGGTATACTTAAAAGACAACTTCAAATAGCAGTTACCTTCCAGAGATACATTAACACTTTCTCTTTTTAATAAGCCAAACAGCTGTTCTCAGCACCTGTTTTCAAGCTGCTTTATCAAAATATTAGTGTCATGTAAACTTGTGGAATGACCTCACTTCTCACATTTGACTTTCTTTTTTCTTTAATTTTATTTGTGAACATACTGTACAGAGGGGTTACAATTACATGGGCAGGATAATGCGTACATATCTTACCAAGCATTGCAGCCTCCTCCTTTTGTTTACCCTTCACATCCCTTCCCAGCCTCCCCCCTCCCCCCCAATCCCAATCCTTCTCCTTCCCCCCC